AGCTGTTTTAAGTGGTTAGATGAAAGGGAATGGACATTGATGAGTCATGCTGCCCTCACCATTGTTTTCCATCTCTGCACAGAGAATTATCTTTGAGGTGATGGAAGTGAAGATAGTGGTTACACAGAAGGTTCCCTCTTGGTAGGAAAAGAATTGGTGGCTGAATAGGGATGGCTAAGACTATATTCTAAAGGTTGAGGCCAGCTAAATGGGAGTATCAAGACTTCTCTTCACCTTCAAACAAACAAACCTCCAAACAGTTATGGACACTAAGTTATAAGAAATTATATTCTTCATATTTTGCTCTTTATGCCTGAAATCAAGGCATTGTATCTCAAGACAATAAATATTTTTTCTCTTCACAATAGATCTGCCAAATTTTAATCAAGAATTTGAATTGTTAAATTTTATTTTACACATTAGCCTCTCCTCAGTAGTTAGATATCACAAACCTTTTCCTAATGAAGTCAAATTCTTGTGGATGCAGGGGAACTACTGTGTATCAAGTATATGGAATAATTGGAATAATAATTCATTATATATCTATTTGGCGTTTTCAACTTTTCAAGTCACTTTCACATTGATTAGTGCATTTGACCCTCATGACAGCTCTGTGAGAGAGGTTAAGCAGGTGTTTTGATTTCTGTTTTAAGAAGAAGAAACTTTGTAGAACCAGAAAGTTAAGTGACCTTGTAAAAGGGCATGGTTTGCTACCTCAATAATAATGAGAGGAACCCACATGTTCAAAAGAGATTTGGATCCTACAATCACACTTTCTCATTTGACAACTCAAATTAGTCAAGCAATAGCAAAAATCCTTCGCTTTCACCATCTAAAAGCCTGAGTAAATGGGTATCTTTCTCATGAACTCCCTAATGTTAAATCACTATTGTCCAACAAGTAGGTGATCTCGAGCCAAGTAGAGGGCTGAATTTAGTTTAGGGCTATGACATCAGCTGAGCCATATGAGTGAATTACAGTCTTGTGCTCATCCCAGGGCTATCTATTATCCAATATGTCTTATTTAATTTCCAATATCAGGCAGGCAAATTGACCATGTATGCTTGCTTGTGTCAGTAGCTAATTTTAGATAGCTAATCTAATTGGAAATGTTATGCTCCTTTAGCTTGTCATGTAGAAATTCACATTTTCTGATTAATGTGATTCATTTATATTAGATATCACTTGACAGAATGACAACATGTAATATAGAAGGCAAGGATGACAGGGTCCTCTATCTCCTCCTCAGTCACACTCTTTATAAATGATCTATTCAAGGCTATAGCCTACAATGTCTTATCTATAATGTGATAAATTTTGAACTCTATCACTAAGTCTGATGTGATTTTCTTAGTGTATTCTCATAGGTGGTGTTAGCCTTATCAGAAAGGTGACCATTTTGCCTACAATCCCTCATTAATATCACTCCTCTGTAAGTGACTACTACTGTATAAGCTACAGTACTACAAAGCTTATTGATTTTTTTTTCCAAAAAGTACTTTTTGGTAGAAAAACTTTGAATTTTTTTCTTAAAAATTGTTTACATTTATAAAGTTCCTATAAGTAGGAATTAAAAGGAGTGAAAGAAGCAACACAATGGGAATGTAATGATCGCACTAATACTAGCTAGCTATGGGACTTGCGTAAACCGCTTAACCTTTGTATGGCTCACACTGTTGCTGGTGTGCTTTTTAACCTGTAAAACAGTCATGATAATGTCCATGGTTTATTGGCAGTAAAGAACAAATGGATATAGGCATGGGAGTGGAAGGGAGAGTGGGATCTACAGGTAAAATAAAAGGTGACTAACATTGGAAAAAAGGTCATACTTATCAAATTTGTGATTTGTGATTCTTGAATTTAACAAGTACGTTTAAATGATAAAAATGATGACTTCTGTACAGTTTGTATCCCATCCTCCATATTCACAGTCATCCCAGTGTAACGGACCAGAATAACAGTGAGATGCAGTTCACATAATCACTTCAAATAGTTTGAAAAGCTAGCCTGAGTTTAAAACATGGACTTATTTCTGAGTCATCCCAAAGGGCAGAAAAAATATCTTTAAAATGGGGAAAGGAAAAGAGATAGCTGAAAATCTTTCAAGTCAGAATGGGGATAGGAATCCACTACATTATAAAGCCTATATATCCTCCATAGGGAGTATTGTAAGTCAAACTTGACTCAGACTTGTCTGGGGATACAGGTTTAAGATTGGAACAAAATGAGATACTCATAGCATCCAACAGTTGATGGAAGGAGGTTCATTTATCAATAGCATTGAAAGGATATTCAGCCAGGACACAGGATTGGGTCAGTCAAGGGTAGCATCCCTGCCTCTGAATTTGCCATGGTAGCTGGTCAGAAGCCTGTGTCAAGCCTTAGAGACCTCCTTCACTTTTGTACTTGGGCAACAAGGAAGCTTCATCAACAGCTTGGGCCTCATTCCTCTCAGAGTAATTAATTCTCAAGGATAATTTCATTACTTTTTAAGGAAAAACTATCCTATTCTTCATAAGATAGATATTATTCCTTCCACATCTCAAACCTTGGTGGCAAGTTCTAAAGGTCCCCTAGAGCAGAGGTGTCAAACACATGGACCTGGGCCACATGCAATCCACAACACTCTCAAGTACAGCCTGGACCAGATGGAAATGTAATTGCCCATGTCCACCCTCCTGGGGCCTACACCCCTGCATATTCTGCTTCTGAGGCCCACAAGGATGTCCATTCTTCTAGGCCCAAGAGCCGTTCCCTTTTTCACTTGTCTGAGCATTGTCATCTGTGCTTTGCCCTCTGTCCCAGGCACTACCATTACTCCCTGCACTGACCCAAGCACTGCCCTTGCCCTCCTGTGCTGAGGTCCAAGGTTCCTGCTGTCTCAGTGTTCAGGCTAAGCACAAGACCTGCCCCTGGGCCTCTGGTAAATGCTATCCCTATGCCAGAGAGAGCACTGCCATGGGTGCTGTCACTGCTTCATTATACTGGAGCTTGAGGCTACTGCTGTCCCACCCCATGCAAGGCCCAAACTTTTAATCATACAGGAAGATCCATCTCAATATTATTATTTGCTCACCTATGCTCAGAGAAAGTAAAAGAACAGAAAAGAAGTCCAGAGATAATTGGTCTAGAATAGTACATGTGGTCATCATAGAAGTCTTTGCACAGCTCTGCCTCACTTAAATCCAATTCACTTGCAAGTCAAGACATTACCCTCCTGATGTCATTTGTCCTCTTTGAGAACAATGGACAAACAGGAACAAACAACAAGAGTTATAGTTCATAGTTCTAGAGTAAAATAAGGAATGATTTCCCCTTTCAAACTGCCTCCATTGTCCTCAACAAATCAAATGGGAGAACAATCTGGAAAGGTCTATAGGATCATGGAGAAACTCAAGCATTGCTTTTTCAAGGGCTTCCCCCAGTGCTTTTCAATAAAGATTCTTGCTGGCCTCCAAAATGCCATAGGAAAAGTCACAGCAGTTTATTCAGCACAGTCCTTAGATAATCCCCTTACTATATCCGTGTGGGCCTGTATATCACTGTCACCTCCAGATACAAAAGTCATACAACAATTTTTTTTAACATTTATCAAAATGTTATCAAAAAAGTTCTCAAAAATGCAGAAGGTATTCACATCTCTCTAGCTGCTCAATGCTCAAGGATAATTTGCCTCATTATCCTACCAAGTCATGGGTTCCCCTTGTAGTATGCCTCCAGAGTTAGAAGCAACCTCAGAAGAGCAGGGCCTCTGATCAGCTGAGATCCCTTTTCCTTCAAAGTGAACTTCCCTCACTTCAACCAGGAGATGATGCTGACCCAATCCCTCTGACTAAGACCAAATGTTGTGGGCTAGGCCAGACCCAAGTGGGTGTGATGATTCAGGTTTACCATCAGGATGAAATGAGATGCAGGTGGAACCTCTGACAAATAACAAAAGACCATTTACTTAAATAGCGTGGGGATAGCAAGAATGCAGCACTGACTCATCTGGTTCAAGCCTTACTCTCTCAGCCACTTATACCTTAAGGGCTGTTTAAATGCTTTTTAAGGAAAAACAGGGATAGTAGAGATGTTACTCCTACCATACACAGGAAGAATGGGGATAATATGTGTGGATATACAGATAGGTAATAGCCATAGTCTTTAATGATAAGGTTTCATGGTAGATTGGAAATGGAATTGGGCTTAGAATCCAAAGATCTGGGTCCAAGTCCTAGATCTAATTCTTACGAGCTATGTGGCCCTGTATAAATCACTTAACCTCTCTGGGCTCCAGGATTGAGAGTGGATTCTTTTTTTTTTTCCTTAAAACTGTAAAATTATCAGGCCTGTACTACCAACTTGACACCATTATTGCTAAGGAAGCACTTTGCAAACCTTAAGGTGTCATATAAATGTCAGTTATTTAAAAGTTTGCCATGTGCAAATAGAAACTAATCTGGGAAAAGCTTGGTCATACAATGACAAAATTCTTCTTTCTTAAGGGACAGTTTCCTAAGACCAAGTCCACAGCATCAAAAACAAGTGAAAAAACTGAGGCAGTAATCTAAATTAGGCCCGCCAAAAACCCAATTTCACCATAATTATCTCAATTTTCCATTTTACTTTTTAATAACTGACTTTGCAATGCTAAATGGAGCCCTGAAGAAACTCACCAGTGGGTATTCTAGGAAATTTACTTGCCTTGGGGTTAGTATTTGAAAATTCTAATGTGTTTTATTTCTTAACATTATTGTTTCTTTATAATTATACATTCCCAAAATTGTATATAACTACTGCCTTTTTGTAATTGTGTGAAATAATAAGGAATTTACTATCGGACTATAGGGAGGTTAATTGAGTGAATTCTGCCTGGGTGTTTATTGATATAGGAAATAGGAAAGTATTCATTGTCAAGGATTACCATCACGAATGGTAGGCAGTGAGATGGGGTAGAGGGGAGAGGGCTAGTTGTGAGGTCACTGCATGGGGGCAGGTAGGGAACAGAGGGATTTTACCTTCTAAGCTGCAGCTGGTATTTGAGGCTAGTAACCTGCCTTCCTGAAGGTCCATAACTAGGTGCAGTTAGGGAAGACCTGCAGGGGGAAGAGGCAAATAGGGGATGTGTTACAGGGGACTGATGTCACTGGAATGGAGACAAACTCAGAATTGACTGGGGAAGGGAAGGGAAGGATGAAGGAGAGTGAATGCTACAATATTCCCACCCTCAACTGGTTTATCATTTTGTGGTCAAGCCATATCAACCAGGATCATTCTACCTACCCCCAAGGGAGGACAGCCTCCACTTTGGAGACCATGGTAAAAGGTACTATGATGGCAGCACTGAAGTAAAATCTTTGCTCTGATGAAATCACAAATCATTTGAAATACTGACATAAGATGCATCTTGAAGCTTGATTGAAAAGTTCAAGAATACATAATAAAACTTTAGGTTGGTAAGGCCAGTGAGATCATACAACCTGCTCCATTCCTTCTAACTAGTACTACCCTAGTCTACTCCCCAAAGAGGGGTAAGGGGCAGCTAGGTGATTCAGTGGATAGAGCACTGGCTCTGGAGTCAGGAGGACCCGAGTTCAAATGTAGCCTCAGATACTTATTAACTGGGTAACCCTGGACAAGTCACTTAACCCCAATTACCTCAAAAACACCAAAAGGTAAGCATAAGATTCTTCCAAAGTTCCCATGAAGAAGATGTGAATTTATAAATGCCAGAGTATTCTTAGAAATTATTTCATCATTCTGCAAAATTTTTTTCCCTAAAATGTTCCTTTAACCCATCCTTTCCTGTTAGAGGCGGCCAGGTGTTATAATAGATACATCACTGGGCCTGGAGTTAGGAAGACCTAAGTGTGACCCTGTGTGACCCTGGGCAAATTACTTCACCTTTACCTCAGTTTCCTCATCTGTAAAATGGGGGTCATGGTAGCACCTACCTCACAGGGTTTTTCTGAGGATCAAATAAAATAATATTTTAAAAGTGCTTAGCATAGTGCCTGGCACATAGTAGACACTCAAAAAATGTTTATTGCCCTTCCTCTCTCTTCTGGTCATACTGCCATCTCCCTCGTTTCAACATTCAGTATCACATCGCAGCTTTGCTGAAATAGCCTTCAGGCTATTGTCCTAGACTCCAGTGTCCTCTTCAAAAATAAATGATAAATACCACTGCAAACTGTTCTTCTTCATGAAATGTACTGTTCTCTATGACTACATGTTTGTCAGTCTTGTCCCTCCTGACCCCTCCTCGAGGAAAGATGCACAATTTTATCCCATTTCTGAGTCCAGGTCAAGAGCAAATGGGTTTATATGACAGCAGTGAGTAATTATTTTTATTGATGTGACATAATTCCATTTGTTCCTGACCTAGTCTCAGGAGGGAAAGAAAAGAGTGAGCATATATGTTTTAGGTTTTGATTCAATTCAAGCTTACTGAATATTTGCAACGCAATTGTGTAATTCTTATGAAACTTGTTATTTCTATAGAATATAAGTTCCTTGAGAACAGAGACTTTCGTATTTGTCTCCAGGACCTACCAGTGTCTGACACAGAGCTGGTACTTAATAAATATTCATTGAACGGTTGATCAATTAAAGGAAAACAACTATCTCCCTCTCCCCCCATGCTCTAGACAAGAAGGACTGTTAATCATTCCTAGAACACACCCCATGTTTTTCTATTTCTTTCTTGCTGGTTCAGGCTCTCTGTTAATGTTAGTAGGATATAAGTGCACTCTTTCTTCATCCATTATGAACTACAAAAAAAAAAACAACACCTGAAAAATACTCCACCATGACATACTCAAAGTAGTGTCTGAAATCATCTTAAAGTTTTATTCTTTACCTTTGCTGAGGTATAGTGAAAGCAAATAATGTGCAGGGCCAAAACCAGCAAACTATCTATCATGGTGATGGTTTTTATTCACTTTCGGAGAATACTATAATTGGCCTTCCTATTTGAAGACAGGTAACAGGTATTCCCCTTCTTTTCAAACAACTCTTGGCCCTAAGACTTGTGGTGAGCTAGGAAGTATTAACCAGCTTCAGGTTTGTTCACCAATCCACATATCCTCTAGCACAAGCCTGCACAAAATATGGCCCACAAGCCACTTGAGGCCACCAAAGGATTTTGGGCAGCCAGCAAAAAATGTAGAGTTGCCACTGTGCACTCTCCTGTTTGTCACATGTCCCATGGCAACCAACCATGCTAACCTATCTGCAGCCCAAAGAAGTTTGGCTTGTTTTAATTTTGGCCCCTACCAAGATGTGCAGGTCTGCTGTAGCACAACTGCATTAGGGGAAACCAGAGCTAGCGAAACAGAGAGAGCCCTAGAAATGGCCTTTGATTGGACTATACATCTTAGGCTGATGCATCCTGCTCTTTGAAAAAAAAAATCTCAAACTACTTGAATATTTTTCCGAGAATAACATTTTTTAACTGAATTTGCATAACATATAGAGCAAAATTTTTTGATTTGTTTATTGATGTGACATAATTCCACTTGCTCCTGACCTAGTCTTGGCATGGAGGGTAAGTGAGTATATCTGTTTTATGTTTTGATTTAGTACAAGCTTACTGAAGTTCTTGATTTCAAATTTGCTATGCAATTGTGTAATTCTTATGAAAACTTTCATTGTCGATTTCACAAGTAAATGTTAATTCCTCTCTATTAGAATATTTAAATTGAGTAAATATTAAAAATATGACCAAAAAGTCTCAAACTAGTCACATTTTAATGATACTTATAACTAAGCATTGGGATAAATAATCTGTGAACTATTCTAGTAATTTCTCATTAGACATTGAAAGTGTTAATTATTTTATTTTCAGCTGGAGTTATTCAATTCATTTCAAAGGACATTCATTGCCTATTACATGCAGGCATAATGCTAAATACTGAAGATATAAAGACAAAAAGAAAGAAAGAAAGAAAGAAAGAAAGAAAGAAAGAAAGAAAGAAAGAAAGAAAGAAAGAAAGAAAGAAAGAAAGAAAGAAAGAAAGAAAGAAAGAAAGAAAGAAAGAAAGAGAAAAAAAAAATCCCAAACAACTGTTTCTTCTCTCAATGAACTTATTTACAAACTATGAGAAAAACACTATGTACACACGTATGTACATACAAAATAGATACAGGACATGTAAAGTCATGTAAGGAGAAAAACACTATTATTTGATAAGATCAGGACAGGCTTGTATATATAGGCTTATATAGCCATAGTCTATTCTTATGTAGAATGTGGACACTGAGGTCTCTTGAGGGGAGTTAGGAATTCCAAGACATAGATGTGAAGAGAGAAAGCATTCTAGGCAGGAAATAACCCATATTCCTATAACACTTAAAATAAAAAACTTTCTGAAGCAGTAACAATAATGATGTAAGACATTTCCCAGAGATTGATGAATGATTAGCTCAGAGCCTTGATAGCCAAGAAAAGGCAGAGCTCCATTAACTTTAGATGGTCAATAATTTCCCTAGGTAATGCCCTCTTCTGAGATTTTTATTGCTAATATAACCCATGTTTTAATGTTGATAAAATTAAATATCTTAAGTTGTTCCTATTTCATAATATACCTGCCCTTACTTTTTTACTATATCTTTTATTCCATGGCTATGTTGCTATACTTTTCCTGTACCCTTCTTTCAAACTTGGGTTTTATTTGCTGTTGTAAAACAGATACAGCCTACATGGTGATATTTATTTTGAAGCCACATGCATAATTCCTTTAACTAGAAGAATTAAATACAGTGCCATATATTACAAAGACAATCATCACTAGTAACTTCGGGTCCTACAGATGTATTGTTGATGACACATTTAATGATGTGTCAACACAATTCAAAAATTACCTTTTTGAAGTTTTCCATTATACAAATGTTCTCTCTGCAGAATGGCAAAAGCACTTTTTTGACTGATTTTTCTCACTAAACCAAATGATTTTTTTTTTTTGCACAGACTGAATATATTGGTTTGCTATGGATATTGTCTTTTATCTTCTGGCAGATAAAAGCCACTGAGTCTATCCCTGGGCTTTTTTAGACTCAATTGGTTATGGGTATCATGCTGTTTCAAACCTATGAGAAAATCATTGGCTAATAGGTGGCACAGTGGATAGAGAACTGGGTAAAGAGTTAAGAAGACCTGAGTTCAAATTCTGTCCCAGGCTTTTACTAACTGTGTGACCCTAGACAAGTCATTTAACATCTCTGGGCCCCAGTTTCTTCACTGGTAAAATGAGAAGGTTGAACATGGTGGAAAAGAGATGAAAAAGAAAAGTTTGGAATATGGTGTAGATTGAAAGGGAAACAAGAATAATAATTTCTGTTTTAGACATGTCAAGTTTAAGGTGTCTCAAGGATGTCCATTTTAAAATGTCTAATAGGCAATCAGTGATGCAGGACTGAAGCTCAAGTGAAAGATCAGGGCTTGACACATAAATCTGTGAATCATCTATGTAGAGATGATTTGAACTCTAATTCTTTGATCTTATAAATTATTACCTCACTTTCATAGCTGTTGACATTGAGATAGTTCAGACTACAAAAGTTGGATAGACATCATATTTTTTTCTTTTACATTTTAGTAACAGATGCTGTTTTTCACTGGAGACCTTCAGCAAATCATGGCCTCTGTGAACCTCAGTTTCTTAATTTGTAAAATAGTGATAATGTATGTACAGATGCAAATATATCCATACAAATGTATAGATAAAGCACTTGGTAACTATGAAGTATAATATGAATGTAAACTCTATCATAATCAAGTGCAGTATCACAAATATAGTAAAGTGAAAATCTAAAAGATCATTGTTATTTAAATTACCAGTAGCTCATACAACCAAGATGCCTAGTATTTCATCAAGACAAATAAATAAAAATAAAACTTCCATATTTAGAATTTCATAGATCTGTGTTATTTCCCATAGATAAAATCATTTTCTAACTCACATGAGTATATTTGGCTGCAAATTTTAAACTTCAATAGACATTTATTAAATGCTACAGAGCTATAGATATCTATCTATTTATATATGTGTATGTGTATATCCATACCTATATAGACACATATGTGTGTGTGTAT